GCTTCGATTTTTAAAGTTTAGATTAGTGTCAGTCAGTCAGGGCTCGAGTGATCATCTCACTGAATGCAGTCATTCATGCACACACACATATGCACATATATGGCTACACCAAGAATCGTCTGATCCCTGTGAGAGAGTTTATTTAGTAAGACCGCATGTGCTTGGGAGGAGAGAAAAAAAAAGGAAAATAATCAGCAGTTCAGACCAGTTCAGACCAGTCTGGCCGAGAGCTTACGCTTTCATCTCATTGTTTCAAGTTCCCTGCAATGAGCTCTCGCATTCAAAGTTCACACCGAACAAATTAAGTTTGGGTAAATGCTGCTTTAATCTCATCTAAAAAGTGCAAAGGTGTATTGACAGATTGATTTGTTCTCCTCTTCAACAAACATGAGCATGTTTGTCTTTTGGATCTACAGCCAACAGAACATGCGCGGCTACATTTTGTGTCCTGGATAGAGGGGAAAGGAAGAATCCACCAATGACTGTGCTGCACTGGTGATACAGAGAATGACTTACAGAGCGAAACATGCAATTAATCAGACTGTACGCACGTGGACTTTGAGCCATATTGTTTAATGTTAGCCCTCTCCGTTATGTAACTAATATATTGTCCCTCAGCGGGGATATCTGATCCCACACGTGTGCCGTGTCTTGCCGACTGTACATTTCGTAACTTTTCTGCTTGTACGCTCTCTCTTCTTCTGATTGTTTTTCTGCCCATTAAGCAGCGCCTCCTGCTTCTTCCTCTGACAATGAGAACGAATGACCTAGTTTCCTCTCACAGACAAAGAGGAGTCTGTTCGGTTTGGAAAGCCTCCCTCTCTTTCATTTTGCATGAATGGAGCTAATTAGTCAGTTCTCCTTAAAAATGCACCATTAAGAAGAAAAATACATATATAAAGGATCTAATATAATACACCTCACACAGATGCGGGACACACTGCTGAAATCACAGAGCACACAATACTGTAACATACACACGACTTCTGCTTTTAAGCTCTGTGAAAAATATACTTGACATATTTAAAAGAATTCCTTCCTTTGTATTCCCATCACCTTCTCTACCATTACAGCATTTTTCTGCCCGGTTCTCTAAACCCTCTCCCCTCTGTTGAGCCCCTCTCTATATAACTAACCACCTCCTCTTGTCAGCAGGAAACAGT